ACTTTACCCCCTCCACGAACAAAAAGGGAGGTCAAGCAGCTGTTGGGACTTCTGGAGTACTGCCGGCAATGGATCAAGGGTTACAGCGAGAAGGTAAAGTTTCTTTGTGAAAAGCTTACCACAGACAGGCTAAAGTGGACAGAGCGGGGTGAGGAGGGTTTCAAGGAGTTGAAAGAAACCTTCATGGCAGCTCCAGTGCTGAGCCTCCCAGATGTAAAGAGACCCTTTCATCTATTCATGGACGTCAGCAACCACACTGCCCATGGAGTTTTAACTCAGGACTGGGCAGGAGCCAAGAAACCAGTGGGGTATGTATTGAAACTTTGAGACCCTGTAAGCAGGGGGTGGCCTACTTGCTTACAAGCAACTGTAGCAGTGGCAATATTACAAGAGGCTAAGAAAGTGACCTTTGGGGCACCGTTGGTAGTCTACACCCCCCACAGTGTAAGGAGTATTTTACAGCAAAAAGTAGACAAGTGGCTGATGGACGCTAGACTCCTAAAATATGAGGCCATCTTAATCCACTCCCCTGATTTGGAATTGCGAACAACCTCGGCAGAAAATCCCGCTCAGTTCCTGTGTGGGGAAGCCACAGGGGTGCCTTCCCATGATTGTGCTGAAGTGCTGGAGCTGCAAACCAAAAAAAGACCAGGTTTAGAAGAAGGGGAAAAATAGTTTGTGGATGGCTCAGAGAGAGTCCTAGATGGGAATAAGAAATCAGCTTATGCAGTAGTAGATGGCAAAACAGGGGAACTAGTAGAATCAGGACCCCTGAAATCCGGATAATCAGGACAAGCTTGTGAATTGTATGCAGTATCAAGGGCCTTATTGAAATTAGAAAGAAAAAAGAGAATGATCTTCACAGATTCAAAATATGCATTTGGGGGGGGTACACACTTTCAGAAAGATTTAGGAAGAAAGAAGATTACTCAATACTCGGGGATGAGGACTAGTGAATGAAGAAATAATCAAGCAAATCTGAAAGGCCATTGGGGGCCAGAGGCAATTGCCATAGTCCACGTGAAAGGACACCAAACAAGAATACAGCTCAAGACCCAAAGGAACAACTTAGCAGATAAAGGAGCCAAAAGAAGCACGGCTTTGCTGAAGGTAAGTGCCCCAGAGATTGGGGAGAGGGGGGTCCGGGAATATCCCCCACACCCTTCCCCAAAAGAAATTGAGGGGTATGGAAAAGTAGGAGGCCGCTAGAAAGAAGTAAGTAGAAATTGCCAGACAGGAGAGAGCTGTTATCTAAAAACTATACCAGAAAAATCCTGGGGAGATTACATCAACAGACACACTGGGAAGCCCAGGCCCTGCCAGAGCAATTCCTGAGATTCTTCAAGTATACGGGGATTTATGAATTAGCAAAACAAGAGGTACAAAGGTGTATGATTTATCAAAAAGTTAATCAGGCAAAAACACGGCAGGTGGCATTGGGAAGTTGCCCAGTGGCATACCAGCCTCTCGAAAGAATTCAGGTAGACTTCACCTGTCTGCCTAAAGTGGAGAGATATAAATTCCTATTGGTAATAGTAGACAAACTAACCCACTGTGTAGAAGCCCTTAAAAGCTCTCGGGCTACGGCTCAAGCAGTGTCGAGGTTTCTACTGGAAGAAATCATACCCTGATATGGGTTAGTAAAATACATAGATTCAGACCAAGGGACATTCTTCACCTCTGAAATCATTAGGCAAGTAGCCAACACTCTAGAGATCCAGTGGGAGTACCACATCCCATAACATTCTCAGAGCTCCAGACAAGTTGAAAGAATGAATCAAACGTTAAAGGCCCAACTGGCAAAATTAATTTTGGAAACAAAAATGTCCTGGGCAAAATGCCTCCCTTTGAAGCTTCCCAGATGCCACATTTCCTGCTAAATATCCAGACCATGCCTCATTCTGAGATTGGGTTATCGCCATTTGAAATGCTTTATGGAATGCCATACGAGCATAGAATACCAGTGGGGCACCCCAGGATAGAGGATGGACAGATACAGCTGTTGCTCATAGCCATAAGCAAGAATCTGCAGGAATTGCGGAAGCGGGGAATAGTAACACAAAGTACCCCTTTAGGTTTTTCCATACATAAAGTACAACTCGGGGACAAAGTACTCATAATAACCTGGAGGGAGGCTCCCTGTCACCTCACTGGGAAGTCCCCTTTCTTGTCCTCGTAACTACAGGCACAGCAGTACGAACAGTGGAGAAGGGTTGGACACACGCGTATCGAGTGAAGAAAATCGGACACTGGGAAGGGATGCCGGAGTGGAAAGTCGCCTCTCCCCCAAGAGACCTGAAGATAACCTTGTGTCAGCGAAGTAAATGACTGACAGGGATCTGATAAGGTGCACTGAACCTGATTGTGAATGTTATCCATTTGTACATTTAATATGCAAGTATTGTAACGAAGTTTAGATCACGCACTGTAGAAGGGGATATTAGCCAAAAAATTTATGCAATAAGTACTTAGAAGGGGAACTGTGCCTAACTAACCATATCTTAGGGCTCGCCACTAGGCTGGGAATATTTGAAGTAGACTCTGAGATCTGGTTTTGCTTGTTCCAAAACGGGCTGAGGGGAAAACTACAATCAAAGGCTTGAATCATTATTGTTGAGTGCCAAAGGTTAAACAAGGTACGCTGCAGTGCAGATACTTTTAAACTATCAACATGGGGCACCTTTAAATGGAGGTATGCAGCTCGGTCCTGGCATGAAACCACAGAAGACTATTCTTGCTGCCGAGAATACGGCTCACCTCACCGCTGGTGAAAACTCAGTGGGTGTAGGAAGAGGCAGAGGAATATTAATAGTGGAAGTAATCCTGATGTACCGGAGTCTAGCAATGTGCCTCAAGATTAGCACGCACGTAGATAACTCGCCCAACACGGAGGTGCGGGGCCCCGGTATTGGATGCGGACAAGCATACAAACTGTCCGGAAATGACGAGGGGAATTGTGGGCTCCAACATTCCCAGCCCCAAGGAACTGCAGCAAGGGTAAAATAAACAGACACTGTCCCATAAACGGCACTCAGCAGGGGGTATGCGGATTAAAAGTAAAGATAAAGTGTTACTTACAGAGGGCAAACCCTAAGGACGGGCAGTCAGAGTACAAAATACATAAGAGGAATGCTGAACAAATATCTGTCTCAGTCTGTGACAAAGGTAACCACACAGTATGAATTGGGAGAAAATGGAGTCAGTGTTTGTAGTTTATTTTCAGGCGAACACACTGTGTTATGATAACAATCAATTGGGAATGTGTGTAATGGGAAGAAAGACATACTGGGTCAGAAGGAATTTAAAATATGAGAACAAATTATGTGTCAAAAATGAACTGGTTATCCTTGACCTTGTAGAAGATCAGGATAACAGGGTTTGTCTGCAATATGACAGGATATTCTGCTTCTCAAGGAATAAAGAGGGAGTGGACCCAGAGAGCAAAATAAAACAGGTAATGCAGGAACTAAAAAGACGGGAGGCAGAGATGAGAAAAAGAAGGATGGAACAGGAAAGGTTGAGAATCCTGAGTGAACAATACAACCAGCTAGAAAAACAATACACCAGTTGGGGTTTGCCTGCCTCGGACCAAAACCTATTTGTAGATGTAATGCAGGAAATTGCAACAGATTTGGGATTATCCAATTGTTGGATTTGCAGAGGGCTCAAATCCACTGAAAAATGGCCTTGGAAAGGCGAAGGTTTAGCCCCAGAGCAACTCCTAAAATAGGATAATGCTAAAACCTCAAAAATAACTCAGAAACCTGAGGGATAAGTTTTAGACAAGAGAGTAATTAGAATGTTCTACCTTAGCAAGGAGGGAAAAGAGTATACTAAAATAGTAAGGTACACTCCATGTATATCCACTTTGACGGTAAACTCCTCTAACAAAAGCAAGATCTGGTAGCCGGAAAACCCTGCAGGGTACTAGAGCCGGGAAAAAGGGGCCAAGTGCAAATAGACTAATAAAATTGGACTCTACTAGAACAAAAGCCCTAGAGCTAATCCTTACCAATCCTTAAGTAAATTAATACTGGAATGAGGCGGAAAACACAAAGGTTAGATGGAAGGCCCCCAGGGGTTTATCTTGGATTTGTGAGAAGAAAGCATACAGTGAATTACCTCAACGATGGAAAGGGTCGTGAACGGTGGGATTGATAAGGCGTGTTTTCTTTACACTGCCCCGCTCAGAACACAGCTCACTAGGGGCCCCCTTATATGAATCCTTGAGTAGGAGGAGAAGGGAATTGGAAAAGAGATTCCCTATTTTTGGTGGGGATCAGACCTGGGAAGAGGAGGAGTGGCCTGCAGAAAGAATAATAGAATATTACAGTCCTGCAACATGGGCCCAGGATGGGAGCTGGGGGTACAGAACCCTGATTTATCTATTAAACTGACTAATGAAACTCCAAGCAGTAGTAGAAATTGTCTCAAAGCACACCTCAGCTACTCAAGCACCTCAAGCTACTATCTAAATAACCCCAAATGAGTGCCTTCGCGTATCAAAACAGCCCTGGACTCTTTGCTAGCTGAGGAAGGAGGAGTTTGTGGGAACTTTAATGGATCTAAATGTTGTATAGAGATCGATAATTATAGAAAAACCTAGTGAACAAAATTAAAAGGGTAGCACATGTCCCAGTACAAAAATGGAACTCCATACTCCAAGCATTCTGGTGGAACCACTTATTTGAGGGAGCTTGGTGGAAAAAGGTTATATTATTTATATTGTGTTCAATAGCTAGAATCCTATTCCTGCCCTGCCTGATACCCTGCTTTATTAAGTTAATATACTCAGTAGTGCAGGGTATGCAGGTAGCTGCCATGCCCACAGACCCAGAATGTGCTACAGGGAAATTAAATCAAGTATCTAAAATCACAAAATTAGAAGAAGAAAATCCACACAGTAGAACAACAGATCCTTTAGCCAGATTTAAAGAGCAAATAAAGGGAGAAGGGGACGTTTACAAGCTTTACCAAGAAATTCCAAGAGAAGAGTAGAGTAATGAGACCAAAGAGAACTAAGAGTTTTTAAGGACTAAACTAGTTAAATTATAAGACAGTTTCACAAGATCAAAAGAAAACCCACTAAATACAAAGCTTTTTAGAAAAGCACAAATTAATGTATTAATATAAAAGGGGAAGGATTGTTATATGTAATATGAGTAATTTGTGCCTATAAAGTAAAATATAGATGTAATGTTTAGTATTACTAAGAAATATTTGTATAAAGCATGCGAATCAGAGCCAGGTGATCACCTCACATATGTAAAAACCACCGCTGACAAGAGGGAAGAGGACTTCATTTACAAACGAATAAACGTAGCTCGCCCAGAGATGGGTTGTTCCCCAAGGTGATCCAAGGAGGAACTCCCAAGTGATGATCGTCTCAATAACTATCCAAGACTGAGATCGCTGGAGCCACCGGAATGATACAGCTCAATGCCAAGTTCCAGTAACTCAATCAGGGACGGATATCACTCTCCGGACACAAATTTGTTCAACCTAACCTAGAGAAAAGAAATTCAATCAATATGTGGTATTCTGAATGGAAACAAAAGCCTTATCACCGAAAACTCTGCCTCAGGCAAAATAAACTGTATAAAAACCACTTGAACAGGATGGTCAGTGTGAAGCATAGGGGACCATATGCTTTAGGCATCAGACTTGTGTCTCACACAGCGCCAGTCTCAGGCTCGGCACTGTCCTTTTTTTTGTGGCTCTCTCAGACTGAATTTGATTGCTGAATACAGCTTATTTTTATTAATGTTTAATTTGGCTGGAACAGTTTTTACCTATAACAGAGTTATTTGTGCACATTTGTGTGGCTCCCCCCCTCACGCTGCCCCCCGAATAATCCGACTAGCTCAGAGATAAGGGGCTGTGAGGGGAGGAATATCAGGAGAAGGGTAAAGATATTCAAAAGAGGCTCTTACCCCAGGAGAAGTTGGTACAGCTCTCTTTATTCTGTGTTGTCCATGTGGAGAGCGGGGCAAAAGAGCACGAACAGGAAATGTCAGGAGTCTATATAGGTTTTGGACAGGGTGGGCTTTCCTGGCTCTCCGCCAACCCCATTGGGGTAGAAAGGAGGGTCCAGGGGTTATCTTGATCAGAGTCACAAGGTCCCGGGGAAGGGGGGTCACAGGGTGCTCATGAGCTCACTGTAACACATTTGGGGGTTTATTTTTCTAGGGTGCAAAGCAAAATCAAAAGTCCCTAAACACCCAAAAGATTGGAAATGTGGAATGTCCTCCACAGCAAGGCATTGGACCTCTGGATCCTTAAAACAATTTTATTGTGCTGGAACAGTGGCAGTTTGAGCTGGTGCCTCTGGGGGACCCTGAACAAAGAACTTCTGGACAATTATACCCTCCCAGCTGAAGTGTGATAGTCTGGGGCCTTCCAGCAGCTGGCACCACAGGTCCCCAGGTCCTCTGCTGAGCCATCCCTCTCCTACAGCCAAGTTTAGTCTGTCACATTTGGCTTTTCTCCCTGATCCACCACCAGGACCAAAAGAGCACGTCGTGCTGAGGATGTAAAAATGCCTGTTCTTGCTGGATCGTTGCTGTTGTGTGACACCCCTGCAGGCAGAGCGGGCAGCTGTAGGGATGTTGACTCGTTTCCCTGGTGCCAGCCCTGCTGCATGCATCAGAGCTCCTGGGTGTTGGTGCTCGCTGGGAAGCAGCCTGGCACCACGGGGAGTTACAATGCGTCTTCAAAGAATGCCCACACATTAAACCACACGATTTAGCCTGGGATTTTAAGTTGTTTCTCAACTTGAAGAGGGACTAAACAAGTCTGGAAAAGGCCTAAACAGGTCTCCTGTGAATTCTCTCCCTGGCAAGTTCAGTTCCGCCCCCGAATGGCCCTCAGCATTCTCAAGGCAGCGGCAGGAGCCGGGTGCTGACCCGGATCCCTGTTGGGCAGGGACAGCGCGGCACAGAGCGAGCCCTTGCCGCCTGGGATGGCCACAGGCCCGGGAGAGCCGGGCGGGCAGCGCCAGGCCCCCCCGGGCTCCTCTGGCATCGGTTCTGTCCCCTCGGGCGCTGAGCGGTGCTGGTCCTGCCGTTCTGCCTGCGGGGCTGTCTGTGCCCGGCCCCGATGGAGGCAGGGCTGTGGCTGTGCCCCCTCGGCTTGGGGTGCCGCCTGCCCGGCGCTCAGCACCGCCCGTGCCGTGCCCGTGCAGCGTGACCCGGCAGGGCAGCTCCGCCTCGCCCGCTCACCACAGCCATCCTGGCACGGCGGCTGCCCCTGGGCCGCGGCAGCCCCGAGCCGGACGGGCCCGGCAGGGAACCCGGGAGGGCTCCGTCCCCTGCGTGCCTCAGAAGAGACTCCAGCCCCACTGCGTGCAGAAGGAGGGACGCAAAGCACTGGCACGCTTAGGAGAGTCCACAGCCCTCTCCACATCCGAAATGAGACCCCGAAACCCCGTCCTGTGCTCAGCAGAGACCCCTGGCACCCTGCACACCTTGGGAGAGATCCCAACCCCCTCATGCTTCACATGGGATTCCAAAGCGCATGCATGTGGACCCCAGTGCCCTCCATGCCTCAGAGGGAATCTAAAATATCCCTGTGTATCTCACAAGGGACCCCAGTGCCTGGTGGACCTTATGGGGTCTCCAAAGCCCCCACGTGCCTTATATGGAATCCCAGGCCAGCTACGCCAAGTGTTTTGTCCTGGAAATCAAGTGTGGTTGCAGATGGGTTGTTGTGCCTCTGGGGATGTTCATCTGCCCCATTTGGCCCTAAGGCCACACAGCCCTTCCCTTCCCTTCCCTTCCCTTCCCTTCCCTTCCCTTCCCTTCCCTTCCCTTCCCTTCCCTTCCCTTCCCTTCCCTTCCCTTCCCTTCCCTTCCCTTCCCTTCCCTTCCCTTCCCTTCCCTTCCCTTCCCTTCCCTTCCCTTCCCTTCCCTTCCCTTCCCTTCCCTTCCTTCCCTTCCCTTCCCTTCCCTTCCCTTCCCTTCCCTTCCCTTCCCTTCCCTTCCCTTCCCTTCTCCTCCCTTCCCTTCCCTTCCCTTCCCTTCCCTTCCCTTCCCTTCCCTTCCCTTCCCTTCCCTTCCCTTCCCTTCCCTTCCCTTCCCTTCCTGTCCTCTCCCAGAGGAGCAGACTTTGTGCAGCACCCTGGATTGGTGATGGCCCATCAATTAGGTCCTGTCAAGTGTTTGTTAATTGGGGAGAAGCTTTGTTTTTTTCCTGCTGGCATTGCTGGTCAGGCTGTGTCCCTGGAGATGCTCTTAAAGGCTTCCCACTTTTCCTGGGCATGCCACTGGAGGATGTCCAGGCCCAGATGATGCCACTGAAGGAAATGTGCCCTCAACCCAGGAACGCTCAGCATGGGCTCCCTCAGCCCCTCGGGACCCCGCTGCTGGTCACAGCAGCCCCTGCCTGGCTCCTGCCTGCCCTCACCATGGGCATCCACAGCTGCTCCTGGCCATGGAGCTCAGCCAGTGCTGGTGCCAGGTGTACTTTGCTGGTGGTACCACCTAGACACTGGGGTGACAGCTCCATCTCTTTATTGAGTTAGAAGAAGGGGCCATTGCCTGCACTGGCAGATGGAGGGAAGGGGGGGGTCACCTACAGTCCTGTTTAGAGGGCAGGGCCAGGGGGCTGATGGGCAGAGGAAGGGCCATGTTGGTCTCAGTAGGGCCTGAAAGGTGCTGGGCTGATACTGGGATTTCCAGAAGAACTTGGGAATGGGAGGGGACGGGACATAGGGAGATCAAAAATGGATGAAGGCAGCTTGTGGATACCCATGGGGAGAGGAGGTGGCAGTGGGATCTACAGGGTCATAGGAGGTTTCCTCGTAGATGGCTTTTCTGGGGTCCTCTTCTCTCAACTCTTGAGAATGCTGACCAGGCCCTTCTTACTGCTGGAGGTGCTGCACCAGCTGTCTGGGTGTGAGGTGCAGCCACCATATTCCATCTCCTGTCCAGAAGTGTGACTGTGCAAAGAGAGGAGTGGCTGAGGCCCCAGCTGCCAGTGGCACACAGGGACCCTCCTGCACAGCAGGGCCCAGAACTGGCAGGGCTCCCCAGCACGGCTGGAGCGGCTGGCACACCTTGGCCCAGCTGGACAGCTGCCCCTCAAGGCCCCGGCGAGCAGGGGACGGCTCTGGGCAGGCTCCCTGGCCAGGAGCGGGCCCCAGAGCGCCTCTGCCTTTCAGGGGCGATCTCGTCCCCGCTCTTTCTCCTCCCCACCTTGCTGTGCCTCTGCCCTGTGCCCCTGGGGCTGCTCGTGCCCAGGCAGCCTCAGTGGGAGCCAGCACTGGCTGCAGCCCCAGCGGGGCCCCAGGACAAGGCCCAGCAATGAAGGGGCCAAGGAAAGCATTGGGCACAGCAGAACCTTCAGCTGAATTCTTTGGACAGCCATGGACTGGCCACAGCTCCACTGCAGCCTGACTGGAAATGTTTCCCATCTACATTAGACTTTTAAAATAAACTGTTTGAGGGAAAGATGATGAAAACACTCACCGTTTTCTCTTGCAGTAACACCAGATTCCAACACAGGTGAACATGAAGGAAAACTCCAAAAAAAGCAGACCTGCAATTAACTGTATCAAACAGTGTGTTTCCCAATAGCAACCACTTCTGAGGCTGTTCTGGGCATCGGGAACAGGTGTTGTGGGGCTGGCAGCATCTGTGGGAGCAATGGGGAGCGTGAGCCCACACTGTGCTGCACTGCTGAGCTGGCAGCACGGTGGATATGGCCAGGACGTTCTCTGTTTGCCCCAGAGCTGGGGCCTGCAGGCACCTTGCCACCCCTTGGCACAGGCTGTGCCACCCAACAAAGCCCAGCAGGCCGGCAGGAGAGCCCGGGGCCAGCGCAGCTGCTTGGGCCGTCTCTGCTTGGAGGGACAGGGACCAAACCCATCCCTGAGCAGCCCCTGCCAGCCCTGGCCCTCCCTGCCCCGCGACAGCTCCCCCAGCCCCAGGGGACAGAGCCAGGCCCTGTCAGGACCCAGTGCAGCCCCGGCCCAGTCGGGAGGCAGGGCTGGCTCTGGCCCTGGGCTCGCAGCAGGGCTCCCGCTCGGGGCTGCTCCTGTGCCTGGGGCCTCTGGGCACTCAGGGCCGGCTGCGGGAGCAGCTGCAGAGGGAGGGACATAGTTGGTGCACGAGTCCCGATTCCCCCGGGCTGTGAACGAGCTCCAGAGGCCTGGAAGCCCAGGCACCTCCAGCTTTGGCTGCTGCTGGGCCGTGCAAGGGCAGGGCCTGGGGGAAGAGCTGCTGCCACACAGCCCCACCGAGGGCTGAGCCCAGCTGAGCCCAGCACAGCAATCACCTCTCGTGCCTGTGCCCGTGCCTGGCATCCCCTTCCTTCCTGCAGCAGAGGTTGGCACTGAGCCACTGCTTCCTCCGGGATGTGCCTCCTTCTGCAGAGATGTTTGGTCCATTTCTTGAGAAAGGAAAAGAGACAGATGGATCAGATGGAACCATCCGCCATTGAGGGAGGTGGCATCTTCAGGAGGCAATGCTTTTCAAATCATGGTTAAGGACCAGAAAAACATCTGGGTTTTGGGACTGGGCCATGGCCCTCCCTCCTTCAAGCACCTGCCAGGCCTGGGCAGAAGTCATAAGGGGATGGCCCAGGGCGAGGGCACACTCGTGCATGGTTCTGTCCTGGCACCCGCAGCGATGCCCCCTGGCCAAGCTTTGGGCTCTGAGCTGGCAGCTCTCCCAGGGGGAAAGGCCTTGACCTACCCTCAGCATCTCCCAGAGCCTCCATCCTGAACGTGGGTTGGGAAGCCAGATCACTTTCACCAGCAGGGTTATCTGCAAAGAAAGGCAGGGCAGAACAGCTCCCGTGGCACTGTAGGAGATCCTCAGGCTGCACCCAAGGCTCAGCCCCAGGACACAGCTCTGGGCTCGGCCCCTTCCCTCTCTGCTCTTCTCTGGGGCTGCACAGAGCACACAGAAGGACACTCTGGCATTGCACACTGGAATAAAACTGACAGCTAAATGCTCCTTCCTCCCACTGACAGTGATCCTGTGGGATCACTCAGGATTTGAGAAGGGAGCAGGGCAGGGTTTCCCAATCTCAACAGCCTTCAGACTCTTAAGGGAATGGCACATGATTGAGCTCTTGCAACATGGACATTGATTGTTCTCTCAGGAAAAGGGACATTGAGAACTTGCTTCCAAAATTCTCCAAGGATTTCAAACTGTCTTTTGCTAGGCCTTCCAGATAAGCCATGTCACGATCCCAGTCTAGACAGAAGCACAGATCAGAAGCATTTCCATGCTGTTCTGGGATCTCCTTCTGCCTTTGGCAACTGGGCACTGCAAGAGGGTCAGGTAAGACAGTGGGAGCCAGATGTGAATGTCCACGAAAGCTGCACAGAGGCCTGGAGAGCCCTAGAGTGGCTCCTGGTCACTCTCCACCCTTTTTGCAGGCCCTGTGCAACATCCCTGGATGGGGTTGCTGAACCTGCCCGGGGCCCATGGTGGTTCTCTGACTCTGACAGAGGAAACCCCCACTAATTTCCTGAGGAAATGTGCAGCATGCAGTGCCACAACTATTCCTTCTTGCCTATCTCTGCTTGGTCAGCTCAGACCGGCCAAGGAACAGTCAGACCCTCTCACACAGGTCAGGCCCTTGGGGAAGAGCTTCTGCCACACAGCCTCACCAAGGGCTGAGGCCAGCACTCAATTACCTCCTGGGCCTGTGCCCATGCCTGGAATTGCCTCCCTTCCTTCAGGAAATGCTGCCTTCCATAGAGAGTCTCTGTCCATCCCTTGAGAAAGGAAGAGGCACAGCTGGATCAGATGGAACCACACATCAGGGGGGTGGAAATTTCAGGAGGCAATACTTGTCAAAGACATGGATAAGGATCAGGAAAAGGCCCAGGCTCTTGGGGCTATGACAGGGCTCTCTCTTTTCCAAACCGCCACCCCTCCTGATCTTCTGGGGACTGGGAAATTGCAGGGGATGTCAGGCTGTGCATGGACAATGGTGCAGCTGGGGCTCCCTGTCAGCTGGTGCCAAATGCCTTCCTGCAGAGGCTGGGGAGAAGCTGCAGCCAGCCCAGGCTGGGAAACAGCCCTGCAGGCCAGGAGAGCAGCAGCGGGGCAGTGAGGCTGCCATGGATCCCTTCCCACTGTGCCGGGCACGGCCTGTCCAGATGTGCAGGTAAAGCCCCGGCTGCTGAGTCCCAGGGGAAGGGGGAGGGAAATGCACCCACCTTGTCCTGCCTGCAGCATTTCCTTCAGCATTTGCCTCATGTGTTCAGATGGCCCATGGGGCTTCTTGTATCCTGGAGCTTTACTGTTCCCTGTCGGAGGACCTTAGAGCAAAACATTTCCATTACCCAGAGGATTTTACAAAACCCGTGCTCAGCCTATGGTGTCAGCAGGGACACGCTACTCACCCCTGCGATGGGAGCTGGGCTTTTGAGCAGCATCTACCAAAGGACCAGGGAAAGACCTCCCTGCAGCCACACCTGAAACTCAACAGCCGCAGAAGCTTCTGTCATCTCTGCAGATCTGCACGGGCAGCACTGAGCCGCAGGAGCGGTGAGGGGATGGCCCAGGGCGAGGGCACACACGTGCATGGTTCTGTCCTGGCACCTGCAGCGATGCCCCCCTGGCCGAGCTTTGGGCTCTGAGCTGGCAGCTCTCGCAGGGGGAAAGGCCTTGACCTACCCTCAGCATCTCCCAGAGGCTCAGTGATGGGTATGGGTGGGGAAGCTGCACCACCTTCTCCAACAGGTTCAGCTGCAAAGAAAGGCAGGACAGAACAGCTCCTGTGACACTGTAGGAGATCCTCAGGCTGCACCCAAGGCTCAGCCCCGGGGCACAGCCCTTGGCCCGGCCCTTCCCTCTCTGCTCTTCTCTGTGGCTGCACAGAGCACACAGAAGGACACTCTGGCATTGCACACAGGAATAAAACTGACAGCTAAATGCTCCTTCCTCCCACTGACAGTGATCCTGTGGGATCACTCAGGGCTCCAGAAAGGGAGCAGGGCGAAGCTTCCAGATTCCTTCAACCCTGGGATGATGTTAAGGGAAGTGGAAGATGGGGGAGCTCTTGTCACATTGATTATTCTCTCAGGAAAGGCACACTGAAAACTTGCCTCCAACATCCTTCAAGAACTTCATCTCCTTTTCCACTAGGGCTTCCAAATAATCCATGTTGCCATCCCAATCTAGAAGGGAGCACAAATCAGAACCATTTCCATGGTGTGCTGTGATCCCCTTCTGCCTTTAGGAACCGGGCACTGCAAAGGGGTCGGGTAAGGCCATGGGGGCCAGATGTGAATGGAGAAGGCCAAAGGGGCCTGGGGAGCTCAGGGCTGGCTCCTGGTCACTCTCCAGACTCTTTGCAAGCCCTACCAAGATCCGTAGAGGGGCAGCTGGAGCAGCCCCGGGCTGTGGGGCCTCTCTTCCTCCCACAGAGGAAACTCTCCCTAAAGCCCAGGGGAAGCCTCCAGCTGGCATTGCCACAGGTATCCCTTCCTCCCTCACTCCCTCCTGCCCTCCCACTGCTGGGACAAATCCCCCAGCCCAATGGCACATAGCCAGGCCCACTCAGGACACCCTGGAGCCTTGCTCTCCCCCTCTGCCCTTTCCCCACCGTGGGCACCCCGTGCAGTCACTTCCAGGTTTCGGGATGTGCCTCCCAGGCAGGGACCCCAGCAGGACTGCTCTGTGAGAAGATATTTTTCCAGAAAATCTTTCTGTAAGAAAAACTGCTTTTTTCATCCTCCCAGTGTATTATTGGTGTGGGACAATAGCAATTTAGCAATAATTTTCTGGGTACAAGTTATTAGTCATCTTCTGTGTTCTTTTGAGGTGATATTTTCAGTGTTGGTTTTTTTGTTTGTTTGTTTGTTTGTTTGTTTGTTTTCATTAATGGCACTTTTGACACCATGTGGCTTAGTCAATTACAGATGTCCAGAATAACAAAACTCACAGTTTGCATATGTGTCTCTGTGTTTTTCTTGGGGTCCAGAGAAATGTGACTATTCTGCATTTCCTAGAAAGGGAGTTGTGAGACCTCAGCCCTCGCTGCACATTACACAGAATCTGTAATGAGCTCTTTCTGTGCCTCAGGAGGAGCACAAAGCAGCTGGAGTGGAACTAAGAGTCCAGGCAGCTGAACTTGGTGGGGATGGAGGATGGTCAGCACTACAGAGAAAATGTTCGATAGCTTGTCAATTCATGACCCTGAGGTCTGAGAGGCTTCCATTCCCTCAGACAAATGCTGATCCCCATTAATATGAACGGTTGAACTTCGTGTGACATCAGTCAGTCCAGGGTCTGAGTGCAAGTACATTATTCCCCGTGCCATTAATGCAAGTCACATACCCCAGCTAGGCAGACAAGGGAAATAGAATTTTCAGTAGTCATTGTTTTGCTTTGCAGTACTGTGTGGACATGGCCAGCTTCTCATGCTTGATTATCTTCAAGATATTTGTTGCATTTTATAAAGTTCATCGGCAAACTTGTGCTTGCTTCTTAAAAGTGGTATGCTGTATCATGTAGCCCATTTGACTGGGTAGAAGGAGGCATGTCATATTTAAGATAGTGACACTGATAATTAGCTGTTAGCATCTAATTCCACTTCTTTTTTCACTTCAGTTGCTCCTAGAATATCTAGTGAGTACATTTAGCATCAGTTTCCCCAGCAGAAATAGTAAGGACACACTTCCTTTGCAATGATGCAATGATGTATGTACTAGTTACTGTATATTTTAAGTTGAATGTATGAAAGGTATTATATAAGTTTTGAAAACTACCTTAATAGTGTTTTATTCTTCTCTAGGCACAGGAATTTTGATTTTGTATTGTGATTTAAATAGACAATAACTAAAAATCAAGGCTTTCGTTGCTTAATTGTTGTCACATATCTCATTTTAGGGGTGGTTGCCATTTAGTTTGGTAAAGGATCCAAAGACTCAGATTCCTTTTGAACAGCCAATATCTAGTTTTTCTGATGATTTATTCATAGCAGTTTGGTTTTTGCTTTTTCCTTGTTAGGAAATTGCCCTTCATAGGATCTGTCTATGTAAGGTTGTTGTATAATGCATGTTCATTTGCTTAGTTATATTTGTAAGCTCCAGCTGTGCCCATCACTTGCTAAATCTGTCATTGAAGGATTTTGTTTACATTCTGCCTGGCTTTGTTTTCAGATGTCTCTGAATTCCTTCCTGTGTTGAGTCACAGCTGTGAAAAGAGAAATCTCCCTCTTTAATTCAAGGGGTCAGTGGTTTAAAAGCACTGAAGCCTG